AAAGTTACCAAATGACTTATTAATACTGGGATTGATTCCGTAAACTTGATTATTATTATTATGCACAAATTTACCATATAGCAGGATCTATTGGCGCTGAGAAACATTGACAAAATTCATATATTATTAGGTCACTCATGATACCATATCCTGATAGCTGAGTATATGTATCAGAAAATGCAACAATATCCAATTTAGATAAAATTTGGCCAAAAACCAAGCACTATAGTACAGAGACTTTGGCCCAATTATTGCTTAAAATTAGGTAAAAAGTTAAGTAATTTTGGCCTAAAATTAATTGACAATTTTGCTTAAAATAGACAAAAAGTAAATAATTCTCAACTAAAAGGAGTGACTACAGTTTTTATTTAAACATTGCTCTATTTTTTAGACTGATATGTGGCATAGACACTTGCTCAATTATTGGGAGAGGGTGAAAAAACAAAACAATTTAATCTCTAGCCAATATATCCAGCTACAGTATATGCACTTTTCTCTCCCATTCCTTTCTTAATGATATTGCCTCTCTTACATAAGTTCAAATCCTGGTATTGGCTCAACCAATAGCTCATAGCTAATAGAATAAAGATGAAAAGGTATGACATAAACAGTCAATACATCTGAAAAAAATGACTCATTTTGCATTGAATTGAAAGTATATGTCAGGTTGGTCTCATTGAACTGTGAACTGAACCTGCAATGATACAATAATGATAGCAAGATTCATTATTTAAAACAATTAAGGCCGTGTAACATTAGAAACTGTAAATTTATAATTATAATTTAGAAAATCAGTTACTGACATGGTATATATTTTTGTAATTGTATTTTTAATTTTTATACTACTATAAATAACTATCATGCTCAAAATGTATCAACCGTGACAATTATGACTACTTGTAAGCAAAAACAATCACATGACTCAAGCTGATTCAGCACAGTGCAAAGTCATCAAAACATCTGCAAAACATCCTAAAAGTATGATGCAAGAATTTCAAGTGTCATCAGAAATTGCTTATACATAAAAGTCTAATTCAAAATTTACAGCCAAAAGTTTTACCAAAAGCTAAGTTTCAGCAGTTGACCAAATCAATGACACATTAAATATTACTATTCTGTGCTAATGGATATTACCATCGAATTAATATGCACGTATTTTAGATGCTAAAACTTGTTAAAAAAAATTTTGTTTGTGTTTATATCATGTAACTAAATCATTTCATGTAACAAAACAATAAATAAAAAATGGTTGTTTAAATCTTAAAAGTACATCATGTGGGCAGTGCTAATTTAAACTACGCCATACCCACTAATCTTTTGAGGTAATCGCACTGTTTGAGTGTCGCCTTCCAAAGAAAATGTCACATGGCTGTTCTCGTTAACTTGTAACTTTATACTTACTTGTAAGCCCTAAAAAAGTAAAAAAAATTATATCAATTAGATCTACAGTGAAACCAGGACAAAAGGTTTGTCAGTTACCGTATAGCCCCAAATTTTTATCGGTCAAATTTTTTGTCAAATTTGGTGTTTTGATAGCCATTCGCCAAAATACAGATCCACCATTTTGAGCCATATATACATGCTCAATAGCACATGGCCACATTACGTCATGGCCAACGTAATTACAACAAACAAATTACGTTGTGGCCTTACTGTAGGCAACGGTAAGCCTATGGTATGCAGAATTATAACAGAAATGATAAAAATTAAATTTAACAAGGAATTAAGAAATTTTACTGACACAAAATTGGAGTTATACAGTACGCAGTGGTGTCTTTTATTTGGAGTAATTGGTACACCATTATTGTAGATGCTGCCCGTTAAATGGGAGGTGCCCACTATATTGTCTGTGGGTTCTACTGTCATCAAAGCACATTAAAAATTAAAACCCTACCCCTCTATATTATCAACAGACCTTGATAAAACTGTTATTGTTTTCACAAAGTGTGTCATTGTTCGCAAATGTCCAATAATCAGCTTCTATCAGCTTATCACTGGTGACGGTCTTATTGTAAGCCTCGCAGAGCACACCATCAAAGTTGTGCGAAACCAATTCAGCTTGACTGTATTTCACAAGCAGCAATAGGTAACAAACAAACACAACCTTCATCATCTCTAATAAGAACTGAGTGTGATGTATTACAAAAGACTTGCATGATTTTATAGCACCAGTCTACAGTCTTGAATTACAGCATAGGTAGCACTCGTGACTCTCTTAAAATTCCCAGGGAAAGCCCCAATTGTGTAATTACTTGTGACCACCCACGCGCTGTGCATTCACGTGTACTAATCTAGAAGTAAAGAAGTAAACAGTACTGACTACTCTATAAAATTTCACCATAGATTTCACACACGTATTAACAATTAGTAATTTAATCTAGATCTAATAAGTTTGCCATTGATAACCAAAGGATTTATTAGGCAAATAACTAAAAGGTCATGAGTTAATGACTAGCAGAACTCTAAAAAATAATCATTTTCATGCAACAGTCACCACCACTTAAGCTATTAAATACCTTTTCTTTGTCACAGTATAAATGTATGGTTTCTAATATTCACTTGTGTTCCTGTATATTCTATGAATAAAAATCTTACTATCATATTTGGTAGGACACACACGGGTAATACCGTCTATCTGGAAATTTTTACTGTGATTTAAATTTTACTGGATTAGAATTTCGCAAAAAATTAGATTACCCATATAATTACATGCCACATTCAATAATACATGACACAGTCTTATTTAGTAAAAATTAAGTCACAGCACAATTTTAAACCACAAAAATTTCCTACCACACTAATTTCCTGATCTACGGTAGAAGGCTAATGATGTGTGAAAACCACAGTGCACTGTATCAAGCATCAAAGGGATATTCATGCACTCAGTGAACTGAATCTGATTTTTGCACTGGCAGTTCTTTGAAGTATAGCATGAGTGAAAAATAACTTGCTTATACAGCACTATTGTCCCAAATCAATGAATAAACCCTGATCACTTTACTGATACAGTCCTGATATAAATAATTGCTACCTATTAGGACTGTATCAGCAAGTAATCAGGCTTGATTCATTGATTTTGGGCAGTAGTGCTGCTGTAGCATGATAACTCTTGGCTGTGTACATTCTTATCCCTTTCTAATTTAACTGATTTTATGAGAGTAGCATGAATTAACAGTTATGATTTTATCCTATGACCTCACTTTCATTACTTGTTGTATAAGCTGTCATAATGATACGATAAATGCTAGTTGAAGTGTTGATAAGATAATCATCTCTCTTCAGGAAAATGTGTGCATTAAGTGTGAATGTACACACAGCCTCAATCATGCCTGTTTTGTATTTAAATCAGTAATTCATTTCAGCGTGTACGTTTTATTTTGAAAGAATTTTTTTGTTGCACTAAATTTGCTGGCCCAATACAAAATATTTTATAAGGTACATAATAGCTTGCACTTCTAGTTATGTAAATTATGCAGTGTTTCCACTCTACTAAACTACTGTATCCAATGCATGTCCTTATAAGGTATTATGTTATGCTGTTACTGCTATGTCAACAGATAAGCCCTGGAAGTTTGACAATAATGCTAGTTTCCTTTTTTCTTCTCTTCTTGTTCAAACTTGTCTTTGGTAAGACTGGAGATACCTTTTGTGTTTACCCTGTGAGCAGTTCATCATCAAAATGTCCGTTTTATTCTACTCGCAATATCAGTTTTGATCATTTGATAGATCCATTACCGCCAAATATGACAACTTCTTATAAAGATACCACATTCTACTTCTTACATGGAATTTACAGTTTGTTGAATACAATAACTTTTCACCATTCGATGAATCTTCGATTTCAAGGTGAAGGAGAAATGACAAAAGGACACACTGTCATGGAGTCACCTGTTGTTATTATTGATTGTTATACTAACAAGCCATCAGCAGCCATTAGTTTCAATAGCTGCACTAATGTTTCACTGACTAATATTACATTCAAGTCATGTAGAAATATTTATCGTTCATCTCTTTACTTCAATGAATCATCAAATATATCAATGGAGTACATGTCATTTCAGAATTATGTACATACAGCGGCACTTTGTTTACAATCATCTTATAATTATACAATAAGTTGCTCAATTTTTTACAACAATTTTTTGGCCATTGACACTCAACTACAACCCAGAGCAACAGGATTAAACAATATTGTAGTTAGTTACTGCAATATGACTAATAATGATGTTGCAATACAGGTTGTATATCAAGGCTCTGCTATGATGTGGGCTAACATAAAGATGGAATGGCTTTTCATTAAAAGTAGCTATGATACTGGAATTATGTTTTATATAAACGGAAGTAGCCAACATATACAATTGGATCATGTTTTTGTCACTCAGAGTAGCTTTGGACTACATATACTGGCACATTCAAAACAATCTCACATTGCAATTACAAACAGCTCCTTCTACAACAACAATCAAACTGGGATTAGGCTTGTAGTGACTGATAACACAAGTGGTACATTCTTGCTGGATTCTTCACAATTCAAAAACAACAGTGGAATCTTTGGGACGTCACTACAGGCAGTGGTATATGGTACAAGTAATCAAAATTTTAACATTAGCATTAATAAGGTGACATTTGAGAACAATAAAATTAATCAACAGTTTGTTGATTATTTTAATTTTTTTGAAGGCTATGCAACAACAGTTGGAATTGCCAACTGTATATTCGTAACTATTAGTGAGTGCACTTTTAGTAATAATGAAGGAAGTGGCCTTGCTCTATTCAATAGTCGAGTAACATTTCATGGAGGTAATAATTTTAGCAATAACACTGCATACAGAGGAGGTGGTATAGTGATGGTTGCTAATTCATATTCATATATTTACTTGATGCCTGATGCTCTTCTTAACTTCATTAAAAATAATGCTAGCACTGGAGGAGCTATTTTTGTAGAACAAAATGTGCTGACACTTGGAAGTGGTACTCTACCTTTGACTTCTTGTTTTTATCAGTTTAGTCCTTCCAATGTAGCTGAGCCTGTGCAACACTTTTACTTTAACAATAACTCAGCTTCAGTAGCAGGATCTGTTTTATATGGAGGTGCAACTGAAGGCTGCTTAATAGAAGGTACTACAATTGATTCCCAGTACTCATTTCTGAACATTAGTAAATTTGTTGATCAATCCGGTCTTTCTGTGATATCATCTGATCCACTCAGAGTATGTTTTTGTATATCTAACACAGTTCCTGATTGTAGCCAGATGGTAAAATCAATGTCAGTTAGGCCAGGAGCACCAGTTACTTTACCTTTAGCTTTAGCGGGCCAACATAATAACTTGACTACTGGTATC